TTTTACCACATGGTCTGCGGAGATGAGAACACAGCTGAATGTTCAGGTCGAGGGAAATTTAATACCGACCACAAGGCGCTAGCCGTCAGCACTTGGAATGCGGACAAAAAACCTTGTTGACCTCTTATAACGCGATAGGTCGGTCCGTGGTCTGTTATGCGACTCCACTGTGGTCCCCGGATACTAGTGATACGCGTTACAGTACCTGCTTGGGTGTTATCGTGAGAGTCATCCCAACCATCAAGAAGGACATACACGATCCAGAGAGGGAGGTCCAACGCTATAAGAGAGAACCTCTAGAACAAGAAACCTATCAGACAAGTCTAAATGACATTTATACCGATGCAGTCGGTAAATAAAATTTAATACCGACCACAAGGTCCTCAAGGCGCTAGTCGGCAGCACTTGGGGTGCGGACAAAAACCTTGTTGACCTCTTATAATGCGATAGGTCTGTCTGTGGTCTGTTATGCGACTCCAGTGTGGTCTCCGAATACTAGTGCTACGCGGTGAAAGCACATCCAGACCTGTCAGAATGCTGCCCTCAAAACTGCGACAGAGTGCCTCGTTATGACACCAGTGGACCATCTACATGAGGAGACGAAAGTCCTTCCCTTTGCAGTACCTGCTTGGGTGTTATCGTGAGAGTCATCCCAACCATCAGAAAGGACATACACGATCTAGAGAGGGAGGTTCAACGCTATAAGAGAGAACCTCTAGAAGAAAAATCCTTTCAAACAGGTCTAAGTGACATTCATGCCGATGTAGTCGCAGATGCTACCAGCAATTACAGGATGAATGCGTCCTCGGAGTCCACCTCCTATAAATCGCAGCTGAAGAACGATAGCTGCCTAGGGTAAATCAGGTATTTTTGGGGCAATTACGTTCAGGATGGTGTAGTCATCTCCATTCGTATTGAGCACGAATTGACGAAGATGTGCGTGACGTCTGCCTGGCGTGTGATACAGGCCCGCACAATACGCTACATCTCTTTAACAGCACAGCCAAAACTACCCAACTCACTCCAAAAGATCTCTGGCTACAGCCCGAATTTTTTAAACCTGGAGCTGGTACCAGATTAGCAGAATTCAAACACCCACATGTGCTACTGCTACAACGACAACAACTAAAATACTGCTGATTTGGTTGGAAAGTATTTTTGGAATCTTTCAAATTTGGAGGTACAATCATGTGGGGGATATATCCTAACATGATCCGTAATTGCAATACCATACACCTAAGGAGTATCACAAACACCTAGGGCAAATTTTATTAATTTATCTTAAAAATTGGGACCTCCGTCCTGATTTTAACAGGCAAGTGGTTATGGGTAAATCGATATCGAATTTTACGCTGATCATGAGGTTATGGGGTCTCTAAAGAATATTTCGATGGATGTTGAAAACGTATTATTAAATTCAATACAACTACTCCTTAAAAATCTAATCTTAATCCTGGAGACCACAAGTTCAATATCTTATGATTCAAAAGGTCTAGGCCACAGAAGTCCAGAAAAAAGATTCATTTCTAATTCATTTTTATTTTTATTCTTTCAAAATTGTCCATTTTTCAGTTAAACCCCCCCTTTATTTAATATTTAAAAAGGGAATCCTTTAAAAATTCCAATAAAATGTTCCTAAAAATAGCCGTATAGTCTATGGACAACAACAAAATAATAGCTCGGGCGAAGAAAAACAAAATTATGACGGCAGTAAAAGAACGAAAAAAAAAGACACTACTTCACAAAAAAAAGAAAAAAATGGGGACAAAGGGACCAGAGAAACGCGTTAATGCACTACACAGGCAGGGAGGAGACACAAACACCAACACTTGCTTTGGCCATTTTCAGTAATATTGATGACATCATACAAAGAAGAAAAAAAAACCAACCATAACGAACACCAAGAAGGCACAAGCACACACACACACGCTCATGTGAGTGTGTGTCAGTAGTTAGGCGGCAAAACGGCATTAGGACAAGGCGTAAAGGACATTCAATGAAAAAAAAAAGGAAATGGAATTATTATTGTAACTTGTTAATAACAAATGAAATGGGAAAAGAGGAAGTGAGGGGTAAAAAGTAACCACAAAAGAAAATAATTATCCTGACAATTGTTACAAGGCATTTAGGTAATGGGTCAAGTTGTGTGTTTTAAGAGACACCATCCCCACCTTAAAAGCAAAAAAACAGAAGAAGTAGAAAATGGAGACAAAAGAAACCCCCAAAAAATTATATCAATACTCCTTTTTGTTAACATAACTCGGCAGGAAAGTTCTTGGGCTGTTATTAAGGTCAAATTGCAAAGGAAAAACTTTCAAAATGTTAGGCACATGGCAATTCGCCGCAAAAATGTTAAGGATTTAAAGGTTTTCTACTCTCACTGTTATAGCTGAGTTCATTACCTCTCATGAGAGAAAAGGACATGCCATTTTTGCAGGAGTTTTTTTTTTCCTACTACCACTGAGTAGCTCTCCCAAAGAGAGAGCGAGAAAGAGGAGAGAGCAAGCAAAAGCCAGAATATTGATGTATGTGATGGCATGTCACTTTGAAAATTTGGGGCCATTCCTAGCTATTTTTCACTTTCTTCGTGTGAAAGAGTGTGTCTCTCTGTGTGAGTGTGTGTGCGTATTTGAGTGTCACAAACTCAACTGTCAGTTGACCCCATTAAAACTTAACATTTTGATGAGATGTGACTGCTGAGTTGCTATTTCCTTACACAACAATGTATCATTGCGTATGGCCGAATGTTGAGAGGATGGATGGGTGGTGCTGCCGAGGAGGATGCTGTGAGATGGTGGTGATGGGCATTTGTATTTTTTTTGTTTTGTGCCACACAAAAATCCTAGGTGAGAGTAGTCTGTGAAGATTGTTTGTTTTCTTCTTCACAATTTGTTGGCATTATTGTGGTATTTTTGTGTTGTTGCAGTGATGATGGTGTTGTTATTTTTATTGTTGTTCTTGTTGTTGGTGTGATGGATTTTTGGTTTCTAGGTAATGTTGGCAAACGGAAATGACTTTATGAATTGGAATTTTGCATTTGTAAGGAGAGCTTGGGATTGGAGGCAGGCATGAATAAGTGGAGATTTTTTTAATAAAAATGTAACGGGAACCTCTGCTTGGAGGGGAGAGATTTAAGTAAAAAATAAGTAAAAAAACATTATGTTCGGCCGGGGCGTTATATGCGGGCTATACCAAAACGTGAACCTAAATGTTGAATGTTCTGCCATCGGAGCTAGAAACCATTACGAACTACAAATACGTGGTAAAATGTGGCAAAAATCATCAAAATGCCGAATATCGGTATTATATGGCGGCTATACCAAAAGGTGGACCTAAATTTTCAATGTTTCGCCACCGTAGCTAGAACCCATTATGACATACAAATACCAAATTTTAGATAAATCCGTGAAAAAATGTGGCAAAAATAATCAAAATACCGAATATCGGGAGGTGCTGTTATATGAGGGCTGTACAAAAACGTGTACCTACATAGACTACGTTCCTCCACCGGAGCTAGAACCCATTACGAACTACAAATACCAATTTTTGGAAAAATCCGTTTGAAAATGTGGCAAAAATCATCGAAAACCCGAATACCGGGAGGTACCGTTATATGGCGGCTATACCAAAACGTGGACCTAAATTTTCAAAGTTTCGCCACCGTTGCTAGAACCCATTATGACACACAAATACCAAATTTTAGACAAATCCGTCGAAAAATGAGGCAGAAATCATCAAAATACCGAATACCGGGAGGTACCGTTATATGGCGGCTATACCAGAACGTGAACCTAAGCATACAACTTTTCGTCGCCGTAGCTAAAAAAAATTATGACATACAAATACCAGTTTTTAAAAAAATCCGTGAAAAAAATGTGGTGAAAATCATACAAATGCCGAATATCGGAAGGCCATATAACGGCGGCTATACCGGAACGTGGACCGATACATCTCATTTTCAATACCAACTACATCCTGGCTACAATATAAATTGTTCTGCAAACTTTTGAAGCCCTACGTCAAATAATGGGGGCTGTTTCGTGATTTCAACAGAGAGACAGACGGACATACAGCCGGACATCGTTAAATCAACCTAGAATTTTATGCTGATCATGAATATATATACTTTATGGGGTCTACGACGAATATTTAGGGATGTTACAAACGGAAAGACAAGGTTAATATACCCTCCTTTTCAAGGTGGAGGGTATAAAAAGATATATTCCTTACATCCTCAGCACCATATTTGGTGAGTAGAGAGCCCACTTGCAAAAGATCTGAATTTTAGCTAATCTATTCGATATCTATAGCCTGATGAATTCCAATTCACCTGCTGCAGGAATACAAAACTACCCCAAAACGGAATACAAATTCAGATTTCGCTGAAGAGACGTCCTTTTATAATTCAGTTTTCATCAATAAACTGGGATAACCCTTAAATTATAATAACTAGAGGAGTTTCCCTACTCCTGTCATTGAACCTTAGAATACGGATGTTGGTCGACGAACATAACAGAATCTAGACACACTTCCTCAGCAAAAACGCCTGGATTTCAAAATGGGCATTTCCAGTTTTACTTGACTTGAGAAACTACCGAAACCGTTTGATATTCGGGATTTTATGGAAATATTTTCCAGGAAAATTAAAGTTCCATCAGAATCGAAGACATAGACCACGCTGGTCTTAACAATCCTAACCATAAATAAGTCCTTAGCCTAGCCCTATTTTTTTAGAGAAATGATGCTACCAAGTCATCATTAATTCCAAACTCCATCAACTGTTTGCTCGACTACCAAATTCAGGTCACTACAAGGTATCAGATCACTTCCAGTTGAGTGGTACCAACTCAATTTACGATGCGAATTGTTGCCAAAAATGTCATCCAAAAACCCAAGTCATTCAAAGTTTTGTACTTCTTGTCACTATCTTCACCGAAAAAGCAGAATCAATATGAGCGGTCTATATCTAGAAAAAGTCAAATTTAAAAACAAAATCACACTTTAGTAATTCTTACCGAAGATTTTATTCCTTAAAGCTAAGCTGTTGTGATTGGCCTTTCAAATGCCTTCAATTAAGCAAATCGTCTTTTCATTCAAATCCTTGCAAATTGACAAAGCAGTTCCATTTCTGGGAGCAGACTTCAATATCATTGAAATACTTAATTGTGTGGCCTGATCTCACAAATTAGGCGTTACTCCAACAGCATCAATTAGTAACAGCATTTACACTACATTTGGCTTATAAACTTTATAATTGAAGTGTTTTTGACGCTTTATCCAGCAACAATTTGCTATATCATTCAAGCCGCACCCACTGTTTTTCTAGAGCCTGAAAAAATAGGACTCAATTTGTTGCTCAACAACCCCAAAATTTGGAAATTAAGCGCCAAGGTTCGATGACTAAATTAAGGCGAAAATGGAAAGCATTTCTCTATATATCTTTCAGCGCTAGTAAGGCACCATTAATTTCCAGAATCAGAGTTAGATATCGTCGGAATATGTGCATTACTCTCGTTTTACTACCACAGCTTCAGGTACCTTCTTTCTATAGCTTATCTCTGGATTTGATCAAACCACACTTTAAAGAGACCACAACACCTTCTTATCTTACTCCAAACCCTTCGTGGTTTTGGCCAAGAACCAGGCTTAAAAAATATAATAAATTAAAATATTAGAGCTTTACATTTTTTCATTTTACAATTTCTTTCGGAAAACATGTTTAACATTGTCACTTTTGGTTAGTAAATCACCTTGCATTTGTATTACAAATTAATTATATAAATCTATAAAAATAAAATATGTACGCTGCCTCTTTAGACCTTACACCTTAGTTTATAAAAATATTATTTATGGTTTTTGTGCTATTCCCTAAATTTTCCCACCACTATTTCATCGTACAATGGACGACATTCCAGGCGTATATTCAACCGGGAACATAACAAAAATATACCCGATAATTTGCGATGAATTGAATAGATTTCTTCCGGAGGTGGACACAAACGATGGGCCACCATTGTGGGTACCAAATTGGCCAGACGTTCCGTGGTGTTCTGTGGTACGAAGGGCAAATATTTTAATTTTATTTTAAAAGTAAATTTATGGGGAAAAGTACCTGTTTGCCAAAATCAAACTCTCCCTCACAACGGAACATTTCGCCCAAAATCATAACAGCATCCACGTGGGCCTCTTCCATTAGCTTTGTTTCATAGGAGGTAAGGAAACCCATTTCCCGGGAAATTTCCAATACACCTTGGCGATCATTGTTAACCGCACACATGATAATCTATAACAAAAATTTCAGTCAATTTTTTTAACCTATTCCCTCCTCTTTACTTACACTTCTATATTTCTTAATGAATTCCTTTTGATAGAATCTTGTTGAGCCAAAATCAATAAGCATTAGCCTTCTAGAGGGGGCATCATATAAGAAATTCGACCAATTTGGATCTGTCTGCATGCATTGGAATTCGAAGAGTTCTCGCAGACACAATTTCAAAACCGATTCTCCAATGTGACGACGATGATCATAGCTGGAAGAGAAAAATGGATTTAATTAGGAAGGGCAGCAAGATATTAGTAAGGAATGGTAAAAAACATTATAGAGGGGGAAGTACAGGCATTCGAAGTCCTAGACCAAGACCTATGATGGAAGGCAGATTAGGGAGGAAGACAATTGTTGCCGTTTATATAGAAATTTTTTTATGTGCAGTCCCAGAAGGGGACCTATGTTTACAAGTTGTATAGGGAAAAAGGTAGATACTAGATGTGGACCTATGCATATAAATATGTATCGGGAGTAAATTAGGTCCTTAACGTGGGTCGCACAATAAGTAAGAGGTCTCAGACTAGAATCTTTATGAAAAACGAAGCTGTAATCCATACACAAATTTGTATAGGAATATAATGACTCACCTCATTTCAAAACACTTATCCAATGGCACACCGGGTACCAATTCCGTTGTCAAGACACTGCTCGTTGTGATATCGCGTATGACCAAGGGTGCATAATATTCACCATAGGGAGCAATCATTTCCTTAAATTTCTCCGTGTAATCAGCCTCTCGGGTATAATCCACCTCCCAGTTTAATTCACGTTTTGCCACCTTGACCAAATTGTCAATGAAGAAACCTTTGGGAAAGACATCCCATACCTTGAGCATACCCACCAAATTGTCAATGTCACTTTCAATACTCTTGGCCACACCAGGATATTGAATTTTGACAGCAACCTGCATGCCATTTTGCAGGACACCACGATGTACTTGGCCAATGGAGGCGGCGGCAAAAGGTTTATCCTCAAATGATTTAAACAAATCACGCCACTGGGGACCCAGTTCGGTGTTCATAACCCTTTCCACCTGCCAATCGGGCATATAGTCGGCCGATTGGCGTACTCGTTCAAATGCCTTGGCCAGTTGTGGTGAAACAACTTTGGAATCTTGTATGGAAAGAATTTGACCAATCTTCAAGGCGGCTCCACGTACTTTACACAAAGTATCAACAATACGATCAGCATTGGCGGGACTCAGTAGGGCATCTTTGACATTTGTGGAGCCTCCCAGGCCCAAGGCACCTTTGGTAAGTTCATTTATTGTGCCAATACCCAAACCAGCAAATAGACCACCAAATGAGGCCATTCTACCTATGCGACTGGAGGGTACTTTTCTTTGCTTGGACACCTGGGTGAGCGAAGGCAATTCAATTTGTGATGTAGTTGTGGAGGCATCCCCAGACGCTGCCGGAGCCCCAGCCACAAAGGATAGGACATTTTTCACATACTCCGTATCAGATTTCATGGATTCGGAAACAGGTGCTGAGGAGGAAGTGGCTGCTGTAGTGGGAATCTCAGATTGTTTTGGTGCTTCATTTATCGTTTCCTTTTTCTGTTGGGTTTCCATGCTTTCTCTTTTACGTATTTCCAAACGTCTGGACAAAATCTCTTCCATTTCCTTTAGAGTTATTGAGGATACATCCAAGTTGGCTGCATCTATTTTACCAGCTGCAGTAAAGGGCGTCGAAGTTTTCCCTTCTTTTGTATTGACTGGTTGATAATCAACTGTTGCGTTTGTCATCTGTTCGTGAGCTTGTCGCCCACTCATCATCTTCTCACCTGCTGAGAATGATGGCATTTGTATCTGAGTCATCTTAAAATCTGTAGCTATTTTAGCGGCAGTCAGCTGTTTGACACCCTCCACAACCACACATGAACGTTCCCGGGTTTCTTTTAACAATTCTTGTAGTTTCTTTAATTCTTCGGTGGGATTTTCTCCAGTCTTCTGCAGGTATTCCTTGCCAAGTCGTAGATTTTCTTCAAGCAATTCTCGTATGCTGGAATTGGCCCACAGATGGCGACTTAATTCCCGGTGTTCACGTTGCTTTACAGGGCGATTAAAAGAGGGAAACATGTTTAGTTGGTTTAGTTTTGGCTGTTAAGTGGACAACTTACCATCTGCTCCAACACCATTTGTAGACCCCTCAGGACCGCCAATATATCCGAGCCAGCTCTTGACATTTTGTGGCAATTTCCAGTTGGAATTTATTGATGGAACATGGAATTTACTTTCGCCAGGAATAGATGAATTTCATAACACGAGAGTAGGGAACTATAGTAACGAAAAAGGCATAAACAAAGCAACATCTGTTATATCGACACGACAGATTTCAACAGAGATGGGAGATGCCATGGATGGGACTAAAATTAACATTTTGAATAAATTTGTGCATTTTTTATTATTTTTACCGTTATTTGTAAAGATAAAGTCATTTTAATCATCTAATATTTACCTAAAGCAAAATAAAATATAAATGGTAGATCAAAGAGAGAGAGAGAGAGAGAGAGAGAGAAAATACCACAGTAAAGCACCAGGGCGACGTAATAAGTTCATGATTCAGGGAACACCTTTTTCTTTCTTTTCTTTTATGGAACAAGTCTTTCATCTTTTTTTTTGTGGGGCGATTATGTTAGCAATATATCAAATTGTTAGGAAGTGGTCGAAAATCTAGAATCTTTTAAATGTGAATAAAAAACAAAGAGGTCTAAAATTTAGATTCTATCAAAATTCCACAAGTGATTTGGATGCAAGTTGCTATTTATGTTTAGCAAGAGTCATGAAACCCTTGAGTGACCCACTAAAATACCAAATTTCATCGGAGTCTGGTGGAAAATCTGAATTCAATTTCCAAACTTCCTAATATCAAGTGGTAGGATTGAATTACGATGATATTCAACTTTGAAAATAAATACTATTTGCTATCTATTTTATATATATCATTAAATAGTTTATTTTTATTTAATCTTTTTCTTTTTAAATAATAAAAAATAATAATTTTCCTATTTATTTTTAACTAAGAAATTATTACCTAAAAAGCATAAAACACAGCAGCACCCCGAATGATAAATTTGTACAATTTATAATTTAAGTAAAAATTACAAGTAGTTTTGTTGTTTTTTTAAATTCGTTTATAACGAAGTATTTTTCTACTTTTTTTTCTTTTTAGAGAGGAAATACTATTTTGCGGCAGAATTGACATTTGTATTCTCCTTGGGTGGCTTAAAGCGGCCAGCGCGTTCTAAATCATCATTATCGATAAGTTCATGGCCCGGCCGATAACTCACAATTGCCCCAGTTGTTTCGTCGACAACACGTAAATATGGATTGGGTACTGTGTTCTTCTTATTGCCTATCGAGGTGTAGCCTTTTTGATATAGATTACAATAGGGCACCTTGTACAGATACAAATACTGCCAGACATCACGACATCGCCAATCCAAAATGGGATTTATGCGCATCAGTGGCGGCCAACCGGCATCTGTGGGCTAAGGATGGAAATGGAAAATAAAATCAAAAATATTCATGGTGTATAACATTCGCCATACCTGCATGGTTTTTAGGTTTTCACAATATGGATCGGTTCTCCGGCAACCCATAAATACTGCTTTGATGTGGGGCCTTTCTATGCATATCTCTTCCAGGGCCTTTTTAATTGGTCCTGGTTTTCTTATCACATCTATGCTAAATAGTTTTTCACATTCCTCCACAAATTCATCGACTTCTTCAAAGGCATCCGGATCGGTAATATATAGTGTGGGTATGCGTATGTGTTGCAGACAGGGATTGGCTTGATAGAAATTGTGCAGCAGATGTAGGACCACTGTGCAATCTTTGCCACCATTGAAGGAGAGCATCACCTCATTGGGTTTATACAATTGAAATACTTCATGGAGTAACTGAAAATGGGGAGATTTAAATCATCATCATTATTTAAAAATAAATTTTAATTACCTCCACTAGGTTATTGACTTTGTCGTGCACCTTTTCCGATATCTCATCACAGCTGTTGTTGTATTGTTTCAAATCCAATTTTTGTATTGGGAATTGTGTCCCGTTGTTAATGCCAACTTCCATTTGCTGTGGAAATTTTGTTTTCTGCGGCAGGTAGGGATTTAAAAGTTTTGTGACTCGAAGAATTTTTTTAAACAACTGAATTTTGTTTGGCATAAATTTGTGATGTTGTTTTCATTGGGTCCTTCCACGTCCAAATGGGATTTCTAAAAGTAAAACAAAAGAAAAAAAATTAAAGGGGATATAAATTAAATTTAGAAGGCTTTGTAAAAATTTCAAAAATACATAAACCGGGACAGTAGGCTCCATATTTGAGGGGTTTTTTTTTTTTGTTGAAATATTGGACATTTTTAAATTTAGAATCGCGTAGGAAATACGATCTAAATGCCTTTAATGGTTACATATTTTGTGGGGGGAATATCGTCCACATACAAGCAAATTGAGTTATATGCATAATTTTCGGCATGATACCATATTATTAAGAAAATTTAGTTGCAAAACCCTAGAACCCTGAATTAGAAGGTACTTTTGCATAGGGACTACTTATTAATAGCTTGAATACTAATGCGCCATATCTACAACTCCAAAGCTGGGGCATAAACATCAACCAAAAATTTGTAGTTTAAATTAAACTTAAATCAAATGGTTTGGATATTGTTTTCAAGAAATTCAAAAATCAATTCAACATCGTATATAACTCTGGCAGCGACTTTCTTCTTTCCCAAGAAACTTTATTTCTGTCCTCACATGGCTTCATTGGAACGTGATTTTAGTTTCTTTACGGAAATTTGCTGTTCGTTCTTTGCACACGTCATTTTTTTGTATTAAAGATTCGCATCCGTTCAATGCATCTTCTATAACAATGAAACTACAAATTCCTATAAACACAACAAAGAACATTATTCATGAATAAAAAAAATTACGTGTAATATACCTGACGCCACTATCAATAATATGTAAATTCAGGCCCTCATACTGAACATGTTAACGAGAGTTGACTTAGTTTGTTTGGAAAATACATCAACAAAATGTTATTGGAATTTAAATACTGCAGGTATGCGAAAGATAAGAGATTTTTATATAGAGCATGCGACAACTTTTTGCGTATTTCATGAATGACTTTGCAAAAGATAAGTAACGTGCTGGGGCAAATTCGGGGCATGTTAAAAAATCCATAATTTTGTTAGATAAATGGCATTCCAGTTTCTAATTGTTGGCAGACCACTGTAAACCACGATAATTATTGAAATGAAAATAATGAGCTCAGCAGATTTAAAGCCAAATTCGTTAACTGAGTCAGCGATCTAATTTTTAAATATAGGCGAAAAATCGTCATGAGGTAAATGGATTAACCCAAATGCCATTGAGGTTCTCTAGAGCTGTCGTTTTTAATACCAACACGCAACAGATGTTCATTAAAAATCTACAAAGCAAAAAATAAACAATAATTAATCATAAAAAACAATGGAATAAACGCATTTTTACCCACAAAAGTTTTGCAACTTATCCCTATGCCAGCTACTGTATAAATTGTCATCTTTGTTCTTGTCTAATTGGAATTTTTGGCAATTGATCAAAAACGACGACGAATTTCTAAGACACCGTGCTTGCTAAAGGCACATCTTTATCACGCTTTGCACATTTTTTACACGTTGTCGTTGATAGCTCTTCACTAGCTACTTACATCACTTCATGGGATTTCACAAAACAAACAAAACCAGCTGAGAAGTGGTTTATTCGTTTATTTATGACCTATGAACAGCTTCCCCGTACACTTTCCCTTACTTTCTAACGACATCATGATTGCACATGATAGAGCCCCATGAAGATGTTGGTTAAAAAGGTTTTAACGTAATGTTATTGCACTTCACACTTACTTTACTGCTGTTCACTGCTACGTTTCCGTGTTTTCTTAATGAAAAGATAAAAACAATGCATTTACCTTTAAAATTGTAACATTATCGCCAAAAATCACTTATTCAGTAACAACAATTAAATGTTTTATTGATTTGCACTTTGCAGATAATATTTAACCAGACAAAAACAAAAAAAAAACGTCACTACCAATCAATAAAACTAAGAGACTAACAAAGGGAGGCATTGAACATCCATCACTGTGTTGGGTATGTTCAGTGAATTACCTTTGAGAACAGTTTATCTAGGGATGTGTAAACCGATTTTAGAAACAAGAAAATATAGGGATGCCTAGTTCGACTTGTGGAATAACGATAAATCGATTTATTTGCAGACGATTGTTGAAAGGTTTCTTGGAATACACGAACTAAAATAATATTATTTTATATTCTATGTTTAATAAATAGAATATATATATGAAAGGGTTTCTCTATATGGAATACTTCTCAAATGTCTTCTTTACTTAAAAGACCGGTAGAATACATGTAAGCGTCTGTAGAAGAACTCATGAAAAGATACAATTATGATTTACACTAGCATTCAAAGACGTTTAATATTTAGTTAAAAAAAATATTTTTCTTAATTAATGTAATTTTTCTTAGATGAATAAATGTGGAACATAATATTCCGTATGGAGAATTTTATGGAACATGTTACTTTAAATAGAAAAATTGTGGAATGCAATATTTTGGTAAAGAATAGTCGTAATAGTTGTGGAATAAAATAGGTTTAATACAAATTTGGGTGGAAGGTAATATTTTCTATTTTGTGGAATGTAATTGTTATGAAAGTGTAGAAAGTACTATTTAGGGAATGCAATAGTTGGTTAAAATGTAACATTTTGTAATATTTTTTTCTGGAATTTATTTTTTTCAATAAAAAAATCTTGTGGAATGCATTGTTTTAAATGGAAAATCATGTAGAAGGTAATATGCTACGTAAGTTTTCATAATGAAAATGGTGCAAAATATTTTAATTTTTTTTTAACAAATTTCTGGAACTTTACATTTTTCTATAAAAATTTTATGGAATTGATTTAAAAAAATGTATATCGAAAATCTATCTAAATCTGTAACCTAGTATTATGGTAATAAAATTTGTGTGGATCGTCATATCCTTCATGGGTAAGCATGTAGATCATATTTTTTATAGAAAAATTGTGGATCGTAATTTTTTTTGTAAAAATTTTCGTAACACGAAATTTCTACAAAATTTTTTGAAACGTAAAATTTTTTTTATAAAAATTTTGTGGAATATCTTATTTCCCATTGAAAAGCTTTTAGATCGTAACTTTTTTCTACAAAAAATTGATTGTTTTTTCTACAAAAACTCAGTGGAACGTAATATTTGTTTATAAAAATTATCCGTTGAAAATTCTGTGGATCTTAACTTTATTCTATAAAAAAATTTGCTAATTATATTTTTTCTACAAAAATGTTGTGGAACGTAACATTTTTTTTTATAAAAATTGGTAAACGACCATGGTTCTTAACCAATAAGCAAACGTTGTTTTTATAAAAACAACAATAAAGGGATAAAGCCTGACCATTTTGTAACAACAATTTGGTGGAAAGCAATATTTTCCATTGACAATTTTGTGGATCGTAATTTTTTTTTATAAAAAAATTTGCAAATCTAATTTTTTTCCAACAAAAGTTTTGTGGAACGTAACATTAAAATAAAAAAATTGGTGGAAGGCAATATTTTCCATTCAAATTTTTGTGAATTGTATTTTTTTTCTGTAATAAATTTGGTTAATTTTATTATTTTCTATAAACATTTTTGTGTGATGTACAATAAAAAAAAAATGTGGAAGATTTTTTTCCACTGAACATTTGGTTGAAGACATTATTTTCCATTGAAATTTTTGTGGAAGGTATTATTTTCCATTGAAAATTTTGTGGATCGTAACGTTTTGCTATACAAAAATTTGCTAATTTTATTTTTTCTACAAAAAATTTGTAGAACGTAACATTTCTATAAAGATTTTGATGAAGGCCATATTATGCATTGAAATCTTTGTGAATCGTAATTTTTTTCTATAAAAAATTCCTAATTTAATTTAAAAAAAAAATTGTGGAACGTCAAATTTTGGTGGAGAGGCATTATTTTTCATTGAAGTCTTTGTGGATCGTAAATTTTTTCAATAAAAAATTTGCTAATTGCATTTTTTTACAATCATTTTGTTAAAAGTAAAATAATTTTAATAAAAATTTTGTGGATCGTAATATTTTTCTATAAAAAATTTTGCTAATTTTATTATTTTTACAAAAATTTTGTGGAATGTAACATTTTTAATAAAAATTTGGTGAGAGACATTATTTTTCCATTGAAAATTTTGTGAATCGTAACTATTTTCTACAACAATTTTGTGGATGGTAAGTTTTTTCTATAAAAAATTTGCTAATTTTTTCTTGTTTTGTCCAAAATTTTTATAAAAATTTGGTTGAAGGATATATTTTTCATTGAAAATGTTGTGGAAGGTAATATTTTTCATTGAAAATTTTGTGAAAAGCAATATTTTCCATTGAAAGTTATGTGGATCGTAAGTTTTTTTTTATAAAAAATTGGCTAATTTCAATTTTTTTTCTACATGAAATTTTGTGAAACGTAATTGTTTTTATAAAAGTTTTTGGTGGAAGGCATTATTTTCCATTAAAAATTTTGTGGACCTTAACTTTTTTCTATAGGAAATTTGGTTAATTTCATTTTTTCTACAAAAATTTTGTGGAACGTAACAATTTTCATAAAAATTTGGTAGAAGACAGTAGTTTCTATTTAGAATTTTGTGGACCGTAAGTTTTTCTTGTGAAACGTATTTTGTTTTAAATTGTTGGTGGAAAGCAATAGTTTCCAATGCCACTAAACTAAATTTATTACAAAAATTTGTGAAAGGAAATATTTTCCATTGCAAATTTTGTGGATCGTAACTTTTTTCTATAAAAAATTGCAAATTTGTTTGTGGTACGTAACATTTTTATAAAAGAAATTGGTGGAAGGTAATATATTACATTGAAGATTTTGTGGATCGTAACTTTTTTATATAAAAATTTGCTAATTTTTGGAAAAATTTTTGTTGAACGTAAAATTTTTTATAAAAAATTTGTGGAAGGATATATTTTTATTGAAAATTTTGTGGATCGTAACATTTTTTTTATAAAAAATTTGTATTATTTTTTTTCTACAAAAATTTTGTGGAACGAAATTTTTTTTATAAAAATTTGGTAAAATGAATTATTTTCCATTGAAAATTTTGTGGATTGTAACTTTATTCTATAGGAAGTTCGGTTAATCATATATTTTTTCTACAAACATTTTGTGGAACGTAATATATTTTTATAAAAAATAGGTGGAATGAATTATATTCCATTAAAAATTTTGTGGATCGTAAGATTTTTCTATAAAAAATTTGCTAATATATTTTTTTTCTACAAAAATTTTGTGGAACATAAAATATTGTATAAAAATTTGGTAAAATGCATTATTTTCCATTGAAAATCCAAATGAAAATTGTGTGGATTGTAACTTTATTCTATAGGAAATTTGGTTAATTTTATTTTTTTCTACATACATTTTGTGGAACGTAATATTATATTTTTATAAAATATTGGTGGAATGAATTATTTTCCATTAAAATCTTTGTGGATCGTAATTTTTTCTATAAAAAATGTTGCTAATTTTTTTGTCGTAAAAATTTAGTGGACAAGCGTTTTTTTCATTGAAAATTTTGTGGATCGTAATTTTTTTCTGTAAAAAATTTGCAGTTTTTCTTGTTTTTACAAAAATTCTGTGGATCGTGATTTTTTTTCTGTAAAAAAATTAGCTAATTTTATTTTTTTTTACAAAAAAATGTTGTGGAACTTATTTTTTATACAAAATTTTTTAGAGGAAAATAGTATTTTCCATTGAAAATTTTGTGGATCGTAATTTTTTTCTGTAAAAAATTTGCTGATTTTATTTTTTTTTTAAATTCTGTGGATCGTGATTTTTTTTCTGTAAAAAATTAGCTTATTTTATTTTTTTTACAAACAATTTTGTGGAATTTATTTTTTTTACAAAAATTTTTGGTGGAAAATAATATTTTCCATTGAAAATTTTGTGGATCATATTTTTTTTTGTTAAAAAGTGGCTGATTTTATTTTTTTTACAAAAATTTTGTGGATCGTATTTTTTTTTGTTAATAATTTGCTAATTTTATTTTTTTACAAAAATTTTGTGGAACGTAATTTTTTATAAAAATTTTTGGTGGACGGCATTATTTTCCATTGAAAGTTTTGTGGATCGTAACATTTTTCTATAAAAAAATTTGTTACTTTTATTTTTTTCTTGGAAAAAATCACCAAAACTTTTAATGACCCTCTTAAGATCTCAATGCTGAGATAAATTTGTGCTCTATTTAATTTAACGGTGTTTTTATTTGTCAATTGAAACACAAAACACTTTTGTGGAATAAAAAAAATAAATAAAAACCGGACTTGCACAATTAATGCAATTTCGGACAATGGAACTCCCCCAAAAGAGGTAGTCGTTACTATTCAATATCATGTCCATGTTAAGGTCCCCCATTTAAAGCATAAAAGGTGTGGGATTCAAAAAAAAATTGTTTTTTCAAAATAAAAAAATAAAATAATTAAAACAAACCGCTGGGAAAAATTAGTTTAACACGTAATTCGTGTTAAAGACCAAGTCATCGAACAATGCCTTTTGCATACAAATCACTGCCGGTGGTTTTTTTTTGGGTCGAAGTGATGGCATTTCTGGTGGCAGATTTGGCGATTAGCAAGTTGTAATGTTGGGCAAATTGCTTCATGGGGTTGTGGGTCTGGATGACGTAGGTCGACAGCAAAAAAAAAAAAAAAAAAAAATTGAAAAAATTACTACTCTGCCTGGCGATAGTGCTTATCATGGTGATAACACCCCTCGCCAAGGGCTTCCAGGGAAGAAGTGGGTTGGTGGTGGGGTATCAGCAAGTGTATTATGTATTAATTTTTATCTAACGTGTTTTTTTGTTTAGATTAATGTGTTATTTTTTGTCGTAGTTGCTATTGTTTGAAGAGAGAAAAATTCTATTTTTGGAATTTGAATTTCGTTTTTTTTTTTTTTTCTTTCGAAAAAA